TTGCCACGAAAACTGTCCGGACACTGCTAAACGATTCTTTATAGGTGTTATCGTACAAAGATCAATTCGTGCTTGTTTCTTTATCTCTCTAGACCAGTTCCGGTCTCGCCCTACAACACACTACATTCACCCATGTACACGGTGAAAACTTCGTGCCATCGTTGTTGACTTCACCCGTAGCAGTCCAGTTACCACTGTAAAAAATCGTGACAACGGGGTGAAGGCGAAGGTCCTAAAGTTCGGTCTTCGAACAGTGTCTTTCTAAAAGCTCAGCTTTGGAGAAAGAATGAAGCATTAGGGGTTCATTATTCCCTTTTGGGATGCGGCACGCATTCTACTTCCATTTGTACATTCGTAGTGGCGTTTGAATGCGATGTGGCCTATACAATGACTTGCGGGGGCCAGCCGATGTACAAGTCAGTGTTTTTATCCTCCCAGACAAGTCTGGTACCAATTAACCGACCCCGGAGGGATGGAAGGCTTGGTTGGCCCGGGCGACTCACGACCCAGGATTTGATCCCGGACCGCTCGCGTGGTTAGCAGTGCCCCTTACCAATGTACCACTTCCGCCCTCAGTTTTTCAGCACTAACCATAAATAACCATAAAAGCCTAACTTTCAGATGGACTTTCATGGACTGAATTTGACAGTTCACATCAATTGTGGTCGTTACCACAAGGATTTCGAACTGTGGGTAAAACCCTTACCTTGAACGAGAATCGAGACTGATCCATCTTTAATATGGATGCTTTCACCACCCATTATACAACCACAGCCTGAGCAGAGCCCAAGGTACACAAAGCATAAGACGAACCCACAATGGGCGGAGCGGGGCTTGAGCGGGCAAGAATCTCCAAAATGCTCATAATTCGGTCTTAAGAAGAGCTGGGAAGAGGAAGTTGTTCAAGCTGGCGAAAGAGAAACAGGCGCAAATAATGGGTGGGACGTGCAACTTCATGGGCGGACCTTGCCCGAAACCTAATAATTTCATTTCAAGGCAGGACCCGAAAAAGGGATGGAAGCTGACAATTGAAGGTAGCCCAAGTGCTTCTGTGGGAAGCTTACCAAGGTGAACAAAGCTTGCAACGGAGCTTAGGCCGATGTCAGACTTTGCGAATCGCGCGATTCGCTACTAGCGATTCGCGCGATTCGCTAGCGTCCGCGGTCGCGTTGCGGTACCAGCCAATTGAGTGATTCACTGGCCGCGACGCGACCGCAGACGCTAGCGAATCGCGCGATTCGCAAAGTCTGACATCGGCCTTACAACTCGTTAGGGCGACAACGTTGTGCGGCTAAAAAATGAGTCGTCGATATTGAAGGGAAGGACGTATCAATTGGCGCTAGTTGCTGGAATATGCATCGAAGGAAGCGGAGCTCTAAAATCGAAGTAGATGGTAAGGATTCCGGCTTCCAATTCTTTTTAGAAATGGTACGCACTTCTACAAAAACAGGCAGAGCAAGCCTATGTACGAGCCTGTATTTTTATCCTCTTCTGGTTAGCCTAGCTTGATACCAAATAATTTACAGTGGAGAAAAGGAAGGCTCAGTTCGTTTAGGTAGTATATAGTCCAGTATTTCACCCCGCACCGGAGCTGTATCACCTACAAGTGAGTGTTCCTGATTTAAAAATGAAGAAGTATAGCGCCTTAGTCACTTTTAGAGATGCACCTTTTATAACTTTATTCAAAAATTGTTGGCATTGAATGTTTTTAAACCGGAACTCCTCCGAAAGTGCCGAAACTAAAATAATGCCTTAATCAGTGTGCTTCATCTCTCTGTGAGGTTGGTCCACTCATAACCGCTTACTACTGCGTTGGTGTTAATCCACTCCCAGTCCGCTGAAATCCGTCATTCGTGATTAGACTTCGCCCACCTATGATCCTTCCCTAGGCATCTCTGCGCGTGGCGATGACTTTCGCTGAGGTCCTTCTTCATGAACGTTTCCACCGTCTTCTCGAGACCGCTCGCGACCACTTGTCTTGGCCACTTCGGATGTCTATTCGCTGTCTCATCTCCACGATCAAAGCATGCCAGCCGCCGGACTGCATCTCACATCTCTCATATCAGAGGAATGAAGCTTGCTTATTTCGATAACCTTTTCTGGGTTGCCCTGCACTCGTCAACAGTCACCGTGCAACCTTACCACTGTCCGTACACTTATCCCTTTTGCGGCGTTCTGCTAGCACATACAAGTCGTTGAAGGATTCAGTGAAGCTTCTCTCTACTTCGTCGCCGCTACTTATCTGTCTGATGTACACTCGATCAGAGGCTGCTCGCTTCTGCCTTCCTGGCTTTCATGGCTTCCTCTGCCAGCTCCATCCTTTGGCCATCGGGTAAGAATGCTCGCAGCCGCGTTTCAGGTACGCCTGCACCTCACATCGTCAGGATAGGGGAACAGCGTCGAAATGGTTCGAAAGTCCTCCAAAGGCCACTATCCTATCTCAGGTGCACCACGACAAAGGATCTCAGGGTGCTTTCACTGAGGATTAGTGACACTATCATATATTAAAGCAAGCTTCAAGCCAAACTGGTGCATAAGACGCTTCAAAGTGATGGTTGAGCTGCGAAGTGGACTAAAACTGGCAAGGAAAGCGGGCGAAACCATCGAGAACGCTAAAATTAGAGGCTTTAAACTCCGAAAAAACTACACATCGTCGGACGGAGTTACACGCGAGAAGTCAGACCAGAGGCTGACAGACTTTGCGAATCCAGCAATTAAAGACATCCGGCGATCCCTGCATCAGTGGCGGTGGTAAGGGTTGCGATGGCTGCAAGTCCTCAACAATTAGCGCCCTAACCGCGTTTTTTGTGCTACAAAGCTGGCACGACCTCTGCAGGCACCGACCCAACAAGTTCACTCGCGATACGTTCTTCTATACTAGCGAGCCTAATCGCGGAGTCTTCCCTTGAAGGAAGCGATTACGATAATAAGAGAGGCTAGCAGATCGGGAAAACTTTTACTTACTTGCGATGAACTCGTTCATACGTCCGCTTTCTGAGCTGTTACCTGTTCATGAGTGAAAACCAACGGCCAAAAAAGGGGTCCCGTTTTGCGTTTTCTTGACGGATTTTTCTGCTTTTTTCGCCACTGGCGTACCATTGAGCACCACCACGTCACACTTAGCCCGTAACCAATTTTTCGTAATCACTGCATTTAAGTGCCAAATCGAGTGAGGTCTAGTCAATTCCACGTTAGAATGAAACAAAATGATTTTTACAAGTTGGCTTTTGAGACAGAGAGTCGACAAGATTGGGATATACGGTCAGATGCTGGGCTTCACTCGGACAAAGATTTTCCATTACAGCCTTAGAGAAACCACATCATTCTGGACAAATGCCATTAACGCGCAAGAAAGGAGCATAGCACAAGAATGCTGAGTTATGGACAAAACTCCTCGCCCCAGGGGGAATTAGGATTCAGAAAGCGTAAACAACGTAAACTGCTTTCTGAATTTTATTTAACAGCAACATTAAACAATCAAAAACAAGTCAAAATGAATGATTAGAAAGATCCCTGATCTACTGCAATTTATTCTATTTACTTGGTTGGTCCGGAGTCACTCACAGCTGATTGGATCGACTTTCGCAGAACGGAGAGAAATATGGAACGTAGACTATCGGACCAGTATATAGGCCTCCGTGAGCCACCAACTCTCTCAAGAACTCAATAAACTCTCAGAAAAGGTCACAGTTCTTTTCGAAGAACCATTCCGACTGCCTAAGTGAGAGCTGGATAAGTGTACATCCCTTAATCATGCACTGGTGATTTTAATACTATTTACTGGATCCTTTCCGAGCAATTATTGAAGGATTTTTCACTGTCACAAATTCTAATGAGAACGAAATAAGACTATGATTATATAGAAGAACATGTTTATACATACAACAACACTCTCCAAAACGTCAATTTGCTTAAATCTAAAAGAAAAATTCGTTAATTTCAAGGTGCACCAGTATTTCAATTCAAATTCAGCATCAAAGTACTAGAAACTAAAGAAAAATAAAGTCGAATATGTAAAAACATTAAGTCAACAATGGTCATACAGATCTAATGCAAGACCGCATTCGTCTGATCGATAACAACGGTACGATTCGGGACGATGGAGGCGATAACTCGCTCCAGTTGAGGAGTTGAAGCATCCTGATCGCGCCAAGCATACAGAGCTCTGTAAGATATTGGACATAATTTGTGTTATCAAGGAAAGGAGGCTTCTTGAACGACAGTCATTTACCACCCCATATTATGGTTAGAATAACTGCGCCGGGATTCAAGGCACTTGGAGAGATTCTCCGCCCGAGAGATCCCAAGATTGTACTCTATGAGGTACTACATGAATGAGAAGGGTTATGGGTTTTCAGAGTGACTAAGACGAGGTCGAAGTTTTGAGTTACACCCAAATTCTTCGCCAATGCATCAAAAAACGAAAGACAGAAAAGCGAAAATTAGTCTTTCGTAGAACTTGGCCATGATTTGCCTAAGCAAGAAGAGTGTAGCAGTAGATGTCCCAACTAGGAGAATTAAAGTGGTATTGAACTCTTGGACGTACCTCTCTGCGACGTCTCCCTGTTCAGCGTTCAACTCCGTAACATTTGCCTTGTTCAATATCGAGCGCACACGGGCAACAGAAGTGTCAGTACCATTCGAAGGGGATGGGTATATAACCTGAAATAAACTTATTAGCACATTGACCATAGATAGCCCCTTGTGCATTTATCCCGGCATCTTTTTGATTATTTTTGTTTTCTTGAACCGTCACTTTTTATTTACTTTAGTGATGAGTGTACTTTTTTCCGATACGATAAATATGGACACTTTCGGAACATTGAAAAAGGTCAAATACACTGAGCAAACGAATTTGACCAGTGAACCTGGTGCGCATACATGTCGTTGTCGCCAATCCTTGAAGGTAAGTAGCGCTCTAAACACGCCTTCTTAGGCCGATGTCAGACTTTGCGAATCGCGCGATTCGCTAGCGTCTGCGGTCGCGTCGCGGCCAGTGAATCACTCAATTGGCTGGTACCGCAACGCGACCGCGGACGCTAGCGAATCGCGCGAATCGCTAGTAGCGAATCGCGCGATTCGCAAAGTCTGACATCGGCCTAAAGTCTTTTTTCGATTCCTCCAATTGCTTGGAATTCCCCCTAATTATTTTTTGTTCTTATATCACATTACCAATGTTTCACTAAAATATGGTTGAAATATTGGTCAACGCCAATGTAATATTTCGGCGCTATCGCAATATACGGGTGCATCCTCGCGGACTAAGCCTGCGAGGAGGCAGGAGCTCCGGGTAAAATGAAAATGGCTCACGCACCTCAGAGTCTCCCTCGCCTGAGGCTTAGGTTAGTTCCATTTTCAACAAAAAAGCCATGTTTTCCGCGGTTTAAATGCATTTCCATCACAATGCCCCCGTATACTGCGATAGCGCCCAATGTTCTTCATAGGTGGGGTCGACAAAGGGATTCGGCTAGGAGAAGCGAGCCGGGGAATTCAACTGCTAGCACGACATGTGGCATGCACGTGTTGTGAATCTCCCGAGTATGCAGTAACGTTCCCTATCACTTCTGCAGAATGAATGGGGTTTACCGGCACCCAGACGGGTATCGCTGTAAAGTCAACTGCGACGAAAGACCAAGTTTTCGACGAAACTAAAAAGTTACTGCGAACACAGAAATCACCTCATCCGCCGAACAGAAGCGCAGCAATTAATATCCCGTAGAACGCGGTGTTCCCCCGGTTTCCAAGGCTAAACTTTGGTATCATTGAAAGGCAGAAAACTTAGCTGATGGAAGCAAATACCCTCGGAAGGAGACTTTGGCAGAATGTTTGGTTCTCGGAAAATCCTTAACTCATGGGAGCATTAGAAACCCGGAAACTGCTAGGATGTTGGTGTCAAAAACCATGAAAATCATTTTTTAGAACTTCAGCTTCGCTACAGCTTTACTTTTATCTTGCAGTGAGGGGGAGCGCACCCACTAGGATCCCTCCAGAGGTTTTCAGTGAACAATCAGACCATGAAAACCTTTAGAACTTCAGCTTTCCAATACCTTCACTCATAATACTTATTTTTCAATCGAAATTCTGGAAATTGTCGCATAGCAGCCAAGTCCAGTCCTGACCCTCTATGAAAGAATTTATTAACCCTTTGACGGCAACGCGGATTCGCACGTAGCGGAACTCATAGGACCACGCCCTTTCCCGTGGCGCGCCCAAATCGCGCTCAACTTCAGGAAAATTGTCCCATAAAAACAGTTTCTATACCGAACTTCGGACTTTAGCAACATACCAAATATAGCTGCCGTTTTGAGCTTTATATTATATATTGATGGAAAGAGAATTGGTGGTTTAGAGGGAGAACTCAGATTTAAAAGGAAAGATGGTAGAAACTCCAAAGGTTAATGTGTACATCAGATTTTTGATTCAGTCAATTAATTATGATTGAGTTTCCTGTGCCTTTAGAGCTATGAAAGAGAAGAAGTCTTGCTTGAGTGATGGACCTTTTAGCCTCAGTAATGCAACAGCCCAAATAATATGCCGGCGAGCTAAATGCCAATTTTGAAATTTCACATAAATTAGCTCATACTGAAGATTTCTGTAAACCATCATAACAACTAGATATTATAAAGCTTGCTTTCAATTTCTGGTATGTTGAAAATATTTCAAAATTGTTAAATAAGAAGATTGCAAGGTGGCACCCACTGGTGGGTGCCATTGTCGCAAAAGGGTTATTGGATGTTTAAGCCGATGTCAGACTTTGCGAATCGCGCGATTCGCTAGCGTCTGCGGTCGCGTCGCGGCCAGTGAATCACTCAATTGGCTGGTACCGCAACGCGACCGCGGACGCTAGCGAATCGCGCGAATCGCTAGTAGCGAATCGCGCGATTCGCAAAGTCTGACATCGGCCATACTGCTCATATCAAAAGAATCGCCCCTGCAAACCATCACTTGTGTCCTTCCGAATCCTCTGTGGCTGTTGAGTTGGCTTTTGGGAGTAAAGCATAACTAAGCATCGACGTCCCTTCGCGAACCGTTAGCTTGGCGCATGTCGAATGCTACTACAGTAGCGTCAAACAGGTGTTCACGAAACGCTTTGTGCATTTTTGAATTTCGCCGTCCGAAACAAAAAAATGGCGCAATGTGGCTCGGGGGGGGGGCACCTCGCAACATCGCGTCAAAATCACGGAAACGCTCCGTTTTAGGACTAAGCTTTTGAAGAGGAGAGGAACTCCGGTGTACGGAAGCAATTTTCGTATTCTCCGGAGTTCGTCCCTGCTGTTTAGGCTTAGTCCTAGATGACTTTTCTCAGAGTGCCCCCCGAGCCACATTGCGCCTCTTAAGATTAGTTTGAAACCTTTCTTTCAGGTACCTAAACTCTTCAATAGTCAAGGCTCCAAAGGCTTCAAAAGGCATGTCTTATTGATACTTGAAGGTGCTGTTTGAATGAGAAAAAAAGATACACGAAAAAAACATTTCGGCGGACACTTTTGACTGCTACTTGACTGAACCAGATGATCGTGAAATACGTGGCGCATTCCACGAGAGGTTTGATAAGACAAACAAATTTACTTATTGACTAATTTCACTGAATTCTTCTTCGCACCATGTAGCTCCTTATCAATAGCATTCACTCTTATCAGCACATTCTTGGCACTAGTGAAAATCTGCCAACCTTTGCAATGCGTGTGATTTCGAATGGTTCATAGAGATGAACAGATATCGTCTTCTCATCACTGGCAGTGCCATTCAGACTCATCACTGGCGCGTCAGGGAAAAAACGTCGTACCGCCCGCAGCAGAGGTGAATTTGAAGCTGAAAAGCTGGTTTAGGCTATAGATAAGGGGCCAAAACCAGAACAGACAAGAGAGCAGCTCGTACCTCGAGTGGCGTCAATGATGACCTCGCCGTAAAGTCGTGATACGTCGTCGGTCATTCGAAGATTGTCCATGAGACGCGACACCATGTCCTGTTGATGCTGAAAGAGTGGTTTCCAATGGAGGCATGGAAATTGAAGACCGCTGGCCATGAACTGACCCTGAGATCGTCAACAAATTGCAATGGGAAGATCTCTTCGACATGCTGCTGAAGCATCGATTCAATTGACTCTCGAATAGGTTTACCAGCTCCATACAAAGCCACTGGTGTGCCACTTGAGCATACTAAAGGAATAAAGCATAAAAGCATGAATCATTAGACGTTAAACACTCCTTTGAATTATGCGCCATGTATTCGGCTTCCATTCAAAATCAGAGCAACACGTTTTATTATTATGCTTGCGGGCGGAAGTGGTGTAGTGACAAGTGGCGCGCTCACCACGCGAGCGGTCCGGGATCAAATCCTGGGTCGTGAGTCGCCCGGGCCAACCAAGCCTTCCATCCCTCCGGGGTCGGTTAATTGGTACCAGACTTGTCTGGGAGGAAAAAACACTGACTTGAACATCGGCTGGCCCCCGCAAGTCATTGTATAGGCCACATCGCATTCAAACGCCACTGCGAATGTACAAATGGAAGTAGAATGCGTGCCGCATCCCAAAAAGGGATTGATCAACGGCAAATGCTTTATCCTTTATCCTTTATAAGTTCCAGGCAACCTTTGTTCGTAATCAACACTAATATT